TGGAGATACTGCTCTCACCTCAATCAAACAGCTCCTACCGGTACCTGTCTTCACCGGTATACCGACGGTCAATCTCGATTGCTTCAAGCCTTTCAAAGAGGGAGCATGCGAAGGATCGTGCAGGCTCTGACTGGCGCTGGTGGGCGCCTCGGCGTATTCCCGTCGCCTTCGTTGCAGCTACAACCTCGCACATGGCGTTGTCTGTCTTCCGCAGCTGCGAAACCGCAGTCCAATCCGTTCGAGATCGACCTGAACGCCCTCGACCGTCGAGTCGACGCGGTCGCGTCGACCACCAAGCAGCTGACGCTGGACGATGCCACGCGCGCAGCGGCCTCGCACCAAGCGGAGGCACAGCATGATATCGATCTTCTGCATAATGGTATGCGGGGCTAGTTATAAAAATGCTTTTGTTTTTTTCAATAGTAACCATTAATGTTATGTAGAGATGTCGACAATATTCGGGGAAGAGGTGGCAGAGTACGGGGGCGACACTTCGTCGTCCAGTGTAGAGGAAAGTGCTGCTGCTTTCAACAGAAGGACGCCCACCCGAGAGCAAGAAAAGGAGAGAAAGGACCGGGTGCTGCAGCCTCCAGTAACGAGAGCTGCTCAGGACCCCAAAGTGATGGAGGAAACCTCGCGTACAGAAGGTATTGTGAGCTCGAAAGATGGCGCACTGGTAAATGTGCTGCTATTGCAAGGCCCGTGCAGCTTCGTGCGGGGAGTTTGGACTGGGTGGGTTACAAGTACTGTCATTGGTACCGGTATTACCGGGTTCGTTGTGAAAAACTAACTTGAATTTTGAAGTGGGAATATTGGAAGAAAAGAGCTGCATCGTCAGATTCAAGCTCAGGCTGACGACCTGAAAATTGTGATCAAGGATCGTGACTACTACTCTGAGAAAATCATTCTGCAGACACTACTTGAAGCACGGGAAGATCAAACTATCGTGCTGTGCTGGAACAGTAAGTTCCATCTGTACACAGTACTGTACAGTACATGTATCATGTTGTTTACTGACGGCAATACTGTAACTTCTCAACCCTTGTTTCCAGTCAGCCTAAGCAAGTCGCCGCTGGTGGTTCATGCGCTGGAGCTGATTCAGTCCCGCGTCATTATCGTGAGTCCGAGCAATGTGGAGCATGGGCCATTGCCAGCGAATGTTGTTGGTGTGCTGTCAGGTTTGTCGAACGAAGTTTATCTTCAAACCATCTGTGCCGAAGGAAGTATTGCATGTAACACCTGTTCTCTTTACTGTTGACTGCTGCCACAGGCTTCTGGAATCAGTCCATTTCACTGGCTTTAGGCGTTGCTGCCAAACTTTTGAAGTCTGGGCTGGAAAAACCGAGGCAGAATGAACTTTCGACCGGCAAAACTGTACAGGCCTCCTCTGCTATCGCAAGCTCAAAGAAAGGTGTTTCTAAGAAGAAGGCCCTCACGTGTTACTTGTGTGGGAAGGAAGGCCATATTCGAAGTAAGTGCCCCGACTTGCCTAGAAATAAGGTATAACTGAAAATCTTTGGACAAGAAAGAAGTAATCAAGATAGACTACCGGTACCGGTGTATGGAGATTTGGGTCTAATGAATGAACCCTCTTATATGTGCCAAATTTTTCCGATTGCGGCTCACGTTACGGTAATCATTGAAACGTTATGACTGTAACCAGGGGTTAATGGTAACTCCAAAATCGGTGAAGTTAATATTGTGAAAATATCACCTGTAGACCAGTTAATATAAAAAATATCACCTAATATTTTCTTTTGAGACAATATGATATTATTAAATATCAACTTAATATTAGTTAATACGATATTATATTTTTCAATGATTGCGTAATCGGGCTACATTAACTAATCAGATGTCGTTAACGCTCGACTAGCTGAAGTATTACTAATCAACCGTGAGTACCGGGACAATTGTGAGTGACGGCAAGGTTGGCGTTGTGTGTTGGCACTGCTGAGCGCATTAATCTAGCGCCACAGGCAGCAGGTTTATTAGACGCACGATGTCGACGAGGAGATCGGAAGAGAACAAGAACAAATGTCTTGATTTCGCTCTATCAACGTTAAACAGCTGCAAGCGTTTGCAGTTTTCCATCTCGATCGCCTTTGTCTGTGTCACAGTGAAATACTAGAGCAAATACTCGTCAGTCTTAAAGCCTACTGCTTTTCTAGAACCTGATCGAAAAAGTTATTTGGCTCCGCTCGGTAAGCTGGCAAGAAACGTACTTAAGTGGGAAAATATCATAAAATATCATGTAGTATCTAATATTTTTCAGTTCTCCGAGCTAATATAAAAATATTATGTTAGCTTTTGCAAAAATGAGTTACTATTAATATTTAATATCGAAAATAGTACTATTACTATCAAAAATATCATATGATATTTGGTTACCATTAGCCCCTGACTGTAACGCGCTTCCTTTGTAGCGCTACCTACAGAGGTCCCTTTCGTTCAGGGGCTAGAGTACTGGTGCTAGGTTGCGTTTGCGGGCCTCTCTAAATTGGACCTAAGCGAGAAAACTTATCTACTTCGAAGCTCAGTACATGTACATGTATCAAACAAAATCTGCGGGCTCTAACGATATTCCTATCCAATCGGCATTATCACTTGAGCTCACTATTTCTCACTTTAAGTACGAGACCGGGAGCCTAAGCCAGAATTCATAATAATGTAGCGTATTACCGTTTCTATTGATTTTAAACTCTTTATCTAAAAAAACGCTTGAACATTGGTTGCCTAATGTTCCAGCTCTGTTACGATAAGACTCATCGAATGCCGTTGAGACCTCGAATCCGGCGATTGAGACTTGAAGACATACAGCAACAAGTCTTAACAGCGTTTTATTCAATTTTATTTTGTCCAATTAAAGCCCGCAGTCTGAAAAAATCCTTCTTCCCCAGTAATGGAAATCTTCTCTGCATCGGCGGCAAGCGTCTACCTCAGTGACGACGGCAGCTCCGATGACGAGCTCTTCCGTCTTTTCATTCTCCCGTCTTCAGTCCAAAAGCGCAGACCTAAGCATGGAGGGTCGAGCGCAAGAAAACGCGCAGGAAAAGCTCGAGATCGCGCCGAATGGGGAGCCAGACTGATGGCCGATTACTTTGGACCAAACCTGACGTACAATGAACGTAAGTTTTGTATCTACTGCTACGACAAACACATTCCTGTACTAACTGCCATCTACTTGTGTCATCTTGTCGTGTCCACAGACGATTTGCGCCGCCGATTTCGTATGCGTCGAAGTCTATTCGAGACTATTGTCAACACACTCGTAGGTGACGAGTACAGTAACTACTTCGCTCAGAGACATGACGCTACAGGACTTCCTGGTTTCTTACCAGAGCAAAAGGTGACGTGTGCGCTGCGGATGCTCGCGTACGGCGCAAGCGACGACCAAATGGATGAGCTCATACGGATTGGTGAATCAACAGCACTAGAGACTTTGAAGACATTTTGTGGCAGTATTATTCGTCTGTTTGGTGATGAATATCTTCGAAAACCTACACGATATTACATTGAGGTGCTTTTAGACGAGAATGCTGCTCGTGGGTTTCCTGGAATGATTGGAAGTTTGGATTGCATGCATTGGTCTTGGAAGAACTGCCCAACAGCTTGGGCAGGCGTTTACAGAGGTAAAGAAAAGAAGTCAACAGTAATATTGGAGGCTGTTGCATCTCAATCCCTTTGGATATGGCATGAATTCTTTGGTGTGCCAGGTTCTAACAACGATTTAAATGTTCTAGAACGTTCTCCACTTTTTGACAGCAATATCAATGGCGAGGCAGCTCAAGTTTATTTTGAAGTTAATGGAGCTATCTATGAAAACCCGTACTATCTTACCGATGGTATCTACCCTCCCTCGGCTAGCTTTCAGCAAGGCATCAGTAATCCGATCTGCCCAAAGCGGAAGTTATACGCTGCTATGCAGGAGAGCGTCAGAAAAGATGTCGAACGTGCTTTCGGTGTACTACAACAACGATTTCGGGTTGTAGCAATTCCATGCAAACTTTGGAGTGCCGAGGCAATGGGTGACGTAATGATCACATGTATCATCTTGCACAATATGATCATCGAGGACGAATGCGGAGATTGTACCTTGAATAATGACTACTTATACGAGGATAAATGGGTGAGTCCGGCTCCCCCAGTTGCTGGCAACATTTGTCCAGTATCGATGATTGCTCGCGCATTAAAAACCGTGGAGGATGAAGATTTACACTACGAATTAAAACACGATCTAATTGAGCACATTTGGCAAGTCTATGGTGCCAGTTAGATGTAGAGTGGTGATGAATGGGCAGTACGCGGTCTTGATGTCCCTGGGCTAAACTAAACTCGAAGCTTGAATGTCGAAGCAATTGTTGTCTGTGCTGCTGTCGTTTTCGGTGGTAAATACGTACGTATCTTGACTCTCAGCTGTCTTCTCTTCATCTTGCGTAACAACAGTACGTGCAGCCTCTCGCATTGTAGTTAGTATTGCCTTCCGCTGCATCGAAAAGTACTCTTTTGATTCGTCACTGTTGGGGTCCTGCATGAAGATATTGAAGTGTAGTTGTTGTTCCATCAGCAACGCCTTCTTCTCTGAAGCAGCAACGAACCGTTGCTGAATGTCGTCTGCTAGCACACCTTTTGATCGCTTTGCAGCCTTCTGGCCCTGTGGCCGACACACAACGGATGCATCGGTGCCACGTCGTTTGAACCCGCGGTCGTTGTGAGCTGAGCTGTCCACTTTGGCTTGTCACGGAGCTCCTTCCATGCCGCTAAAAACTCAAATTGTTGCTTGTGACGCTCAGCGTAAATCTCCACTGCCGATGTTATGTACTTTTCCTCATTCCATCCAGAGCGGTCTCTACTCTTCAGCTTTGAATTAATGCCTTCAAACTTTGTCACTGCGGGCTGCAGTTTCTTCCACCTGCCAGCAACAGCGAGTTCAGATTGATCATTCGATTCTTTGCTTTTAATTTGAAGCCAAAGTTGATACATCCTCATGTAGAACGTAGCCTTCTTCTGACCGGTACCGCGTATAGGGTCTTGGGAGGTGTCTATCCATGCCTTGCACAACTGGATAGTGTCGTCGTCGCCCCATTCAGGCCCCTTCCCCATGGTTTTGTTGGAATCTTCCCGCGAATGTTGAAGTGAGTGGGCCACATAATCTATTAAAACTGGAGTTTTATCTTAAGACTTGAATCGCTACTTTAGAACTTCAAAAAGTAAAAACCGCTGTTAGGACTTGCTGCTGGAAGTTAATAAAACTTGGTCAGGTCTCAATCACGTTACTTTCGCGTTAAAACTAGAGTTGAGACTTGCCGCTGATAAGATCATGGACTCTAAAAAAACTCTGTTATTAATAGCGTTATTTAAAATAGTGCTGTACTTAACCCTTCTAATACGACCATTACGGATTATCCGGAATGTAATTTCAAAGATGAAATTGTTCCGCATTGTCCGCAACAGATTTGCAGCACTGAAAATCCGCATATTGATATTTGTATAGGATAAATTTTAGCAGGCCAACTGTAGCAGCTCCGACCGATGAGACATGAAATATTTAGAAAGTGGTTAGGGTTGCAGATATAAGAAACTGGGGGCGCTTGCCAGCCTTTCATTTCGAGATCTGCGCCCGAGAAGAGACCATCACTCCTGTTTCGAGAATATGTACGCCTACGCTACCGAGAAAACGCTCGCCCATATGTGGAACGAGCTTACCAAGAAAGGCTGGAAGTTTCGAAAGTCGTTGGGGCTGAGCGACGATCGGAGGTATCTGCCGCCGGGTGGGAGTCTCAAAGGAACGGAAGGCGCTGACTATTTCCTCGGTACGTTACTTATGAACACTGTTTCATGCTGCTTTACTATCTAACCCCTTTTGGAATAGGTGACAAGAGTCTAATGAACTATTGCCGAAGGCAAGGGTGGCTATCGTTTGACCCTTTACCAAACCCAACGCCGTCCACCGCGTCACCAGTTGCTTTGTATGGAGAGATCGCCCCGAGTTCGTAGCTCTGTCGTGGATGGACAGCAAGCCAGTTACATTTTTAGCGACTGGTTGCTCCACCCAAATTACTCACGTCACCCGTAGAGAGCCCGGCGGATCGATCTCCCAAGTCCCATGCCCTCAGCTGGTTCGAGATTACCATGAAGCGATGGGAGGTGTGGACGTTCATGATCAACTACGCCTTCAACGGTACTCAATCCAGCGCTCCATCCGCATGCGAAAGTACTACAAGACCATTTTTCTCGGCTTAGTGGATATTGCTATGGTAAATGCTTTTATCATTCACAAGATCGCCCTGCGTCGTCTCAACAAGCCCGTTCCCACGCATGCCGTGTTCATGCGGCGACTACATATTGCCCTGTTGAGTCAGACAAGCGAAGATTTTGCCGGGGACGATGACTTAGCAGACCTCGTGACCGAGCCACTTCCTCGAAGCGCGCACACGCTCGAGAAGACGGAAGAGAAAAACGGAAACAAGCGCCGCCAGTGGCTCCGTAAGGTCTGCTCAGCGTACGCGGGTCCTGGCGTCCGCAGCTTCGAAACGAGCTATTTTTGCGCGACGTGCTCAAGAGTCAAGAAGGGGCGCGTTACTCTATGCAATAAGGCTCGCCGACTAGACGGTAGCGCTCTCACCTGCAACGAAGTATGGCACCAGAGCTGGCGCAACGGCATGGCTATTCCTGCTGAGATGCAGCACAAAATCCGGTTTGTAGAGAAGCGTAGACGCGAGGTTTGTGTGGTGTAGTAGAACACACAAATATCGTCAGATGTGGATTCCTTACACAAACCACAACGACTCGCCGAGTTAGGTCGGCGGTTTGTATGGCCTGCGCAGAGGGTGGTCCCCTCGCGGTCCGGCCCTTCCGGGACAGACGAGTGGCTCGCTTCCACCCGGTTCCGACTAACCAAGTCAGATCACTTCCGAGGCTCCGCCGAGTTTGGTTCGGCTGAGCTCGTTCACAACCCTGTGCCCTCCACCAAAGGATGGACGACGACGCGCGAGCGCTTTTACAGGTCACCGAGCGCAGAGGCAGCTCAGCTAGAAGTGTTACGG